TTGGCTTATTGTAGCCTGCCCCGGGTGATTATGATGATGGAGAATTTGGTGGAATGAAGATTGGCAGGGGAAACCGAAGTACTCCGAGAAAAACCGCCCCAGCGCCACTTTGTCAACCACAAATCCCACTTCAACAGACCCGGAATCGAACCCGAGCCGACGCGGTGGGAAGCCAGCGACTAACCTCTTGAGCGCGGCCCCAATAAATGATCTAAGTTTTGAGTTTTGGTGTCTACAGAAGACATTGGACGTATGAAATTAGTATTTCCATTCGCTACAGCTATAACTGGGCATGAGAAAGTCGACTTAGGCCTACCTGAAAGCTGATTATCTCCTTAAACATAGTTAACATACTGATGTTTGTAATTGTTTTGCTAACACATAATACAAAGGTATGGTTAAGTTAAGCTGCTAGTCCCTGTTACTACAGGGCCCATATACTTCTGAGACAATACAGTGTTACTGAATGTGTTATTACCAGGGACCGGATTTTGATGAAATGTCATCGGTTTTTCCTTGTATCCTATGCGATGCTCTTAAATATATAAATCTCGGATATGAGCTGCTGGTTACAGAAATTTAAATTTTATAGGTATTTTTTTTTACATTTTTAGGTTTAAGGTCATTTTTTCATTTTGGGGTAACTTTTTGGTATTTTTTTTTTACTTTTAAGGGTATTTCTTGTCATTTTTTGGCAATTTTAGGGAATTTTTCTTCATATATTTTCTGAAATGTGAATAAAATGGAAGCGAAGTGTTCTTTCTCTTCTCCTTTAGGTTATTTTTTCTGTTTTTTTCGGTCATTTTTTTAAATACTTTCAGGTCATCAAAATCCGGGCCCTGGTTATCTATATAAATAATTTATATGCCTCTTCTTTCTATAAACTTGATAAATAGGCCTAATGGAAGACTGTGCTGTTGAATAACACGCTTGTCTGCCCAGAATATACGAGGCTCAAGAAATAAATAGCTAGAGTTCCTTTAACGAACTTCCATTGTCGAGAATCAAAATAATATTCTTCAGACAATGCCCTAGGATTCGGCTTTACTGTACTTAAAGACCCTGCTTATCGTTTGGGGTGTGGTAGAAGTTTATAGAAGATTAGAAGGAACATACTTCCTCCGCCTTCAGGGTTGAAGACAGGTCAAGCATGCAGCAAGCAAAGTGATTTCAACTCTAAAATTGTGACAGTGCGTTCCTTCGAAACGTCGGTAAACTTCTACCAGACTTCATTATTTCCGCCGTGAGGACCTATAATCTCATATTTACTACATTTGTTCGATTAATGGAGCTAGGTAATGTTTTACAAAGAGCAATTGTAAAGAAGATCTACTCACCACTTTTTAATATGTCATCGAAGGTTCTAACTGGCACACACGTGGTGGTATCCGTGATGAATATCAGCCAAAACGTCACTTCCATTACGATGCCATGTGCAGCACGTTGTGTATTCATTTTACAGTCTACTTTATTCCTAAATATCAGCTATCAGGAAATATCACACACAGTACTTCTCTTCTCTTCTTACCTCTTAAACGAATTCTTAAAAGTAGCAATCTACACATATGGACGGAGAATAAAAACCATTCAGATCAGTTATAGAACAAACTTCAACTGTGGTTCAAACAGGTATCCTGACTGGCGCGTGCGCTGTTGATCGTAACACTGCAGTAACTCCCTCTTCCGTCCCGAAAAGGAAACCTTGTTTATACATGCAGCTAGTCCGTATCCGTTGGACTCATCGTTCTGGCGTTTTGTTATTGTCGCGTCACATGAGGCGTAAACATTTTGTTGTCGAAATTAATTGAAGTGATATATAAATCGGGACCAAATGACTTTCACAGATATCTATTAAAAAGAATGGTTTTGATATGGAACAGAAATTTGGGTAGCAACAGAAACCAGTAGATATACATTTTCTTACGTCAGCAGCAGGAGAATTTCACTCCGCAGTACAAAGAGGAGGTTAGAGATTCTAGCAAGATAGAAAATTAAAAGTGTTACGGACATGGGTTCATTTTACAGTAATAAATGATGGAAATATACTGTAAAAGGTTAAAAAAAAAAGTAAAGTTATCCCCGTAGCAGGCCGTTGTGAGACGTCGAGGGTCCCAGATTTTCTCTAGACAATCGGCTCACAGATGGCGGTGGGGTTGTCAGCCTTACGCGCCGGGCGCCCTTTAACGGCCAGGAAGGCCAGGAAGATTCCTGGTACTCCTTTCTGTTAGAGGCTGAGTCGACCACAGGGCCATAGTGCGTCTGGAAAGATTATGTCAGTTAAAAAATCCATATCATCAAGACCCGAATCCGCGACCTTCGGCTTGTAGCATAGTGCCTCAACCAACTACGCTACCGCGTGCCCCCGGAGTGATACTGTAACGATAAAAAAATCGTGTTCCATAAAGGATTCTATTATGGTACATAACGAAAAAAGAATGTTTGAAGATATATAGGTCTAAATAATGGAATGACAAAAGAACATTTCAATGAAAACGCAGGAGAATTCTGGGTCTATTGCTGAAAGCTCTTGATGTGATAATGATGATAATTAGAGATTAAAAGACAGCGGAATGATGCGAAATGGTACTATAATCTGTGTCTTAATGATGATAATAATAAGTTAACATCAGAGTTGTCCCTGTGCTTAATTAATTAGGTGTCACGTGGATGTATAGGGGATGGAGGTATAGCTCCACACATTATAATCTTTTGCAGTAGACGGAAGTGTCGTTAGCTTCACGGCCCAGCTGCTTTACCCTCGGGAAAAGAGGCATTCGTTCCCATTGGATGGGCGGCATGGTGAGCTCAGAGTCGGTCTGGACGCTGTGGAATCGAACCCCGATTGATCGGCAGTCCAGCCTGTAGCCCGTTGCTGTACCGATTGGTAACAGTAACAACAAGAACAACTTTCAGATATGATTCTACTATCGCTGGAAGCTACGCCATTGACTGCACGCAGCCGTGACGAAATTACGTAACATTTGTTGCAATAACGCTGCAATTGCTAATCCAAGAATAGAAAGAATTTCGCATGGCCAGAGGAATGAAATATTTGTGTGTGCAAGAAGCGCTTAATGAGGTGTCTGTTATTATCAGTCTCCATAAATTATAGTCTTCTTCCCCCCCCCCCTTGGCACTACAGCCCCAGTGGGCCTAAGCCTACCTCCATGAACTCCGTTCACTTCGGTTTTTCTAGATCTTACACATTCGGTAGGACTCCTTGGGCGGGTGATCAGCTCATCGCAAGGCCTCTGTCTGTAGACAAACACAGAAAAACGCACACAAACTTCCATGCCCTGAGTGGGATTCGAACCCACGATCCCGGCTTTCGAGCGAGCGAAAACAGTGCATGCCTTAGACCACTCGACTACCGTGACCGGCCTTATAGTCTTCTACCTTTATTAATTTCTGTATTAATGTAACAATATTAATTCACTGAATGTTCGTTAAATATTTAAATTTCATTGAAATCATTAAAATATATGTACATTCGGTGTTTATGCTATATGTTTCAGACTGCAGCCTGTGGACTGACCGAAATATTCTGTACCGTTCATGTCGCAGGCGCCAGGACGGAGGTACTCAGCACACTGCAGTAACGGTAAAGCTACGTACTTGAATTCCGTTCGAATCTCTGTCATTAACCAACTACCTTAAGTGAGGTTTCTCGTATTCCTTCCTCGCTCTCAAGGCGAATGAGAGTAATTACGAGTACGTTGAAACATGCAACGTTCCTTCTCACTATTCACTAGGCTTCCAGTCTCAATTAACACAGCGGTTCTGCAGTTGAAACAGCGCAGTCAATTAACCTAAGATTAAATCAAGACTGAAGTTACTTACTGCTTACTCGTCAGGCCTACAGAGGCCCGTAAACAATGACCTAGACGAGAACTGAAAAACCCCGAAAGCAGCTGACCCAGTGTTACAAAGAACTCAGCTAAGTCCCGAGTTGGCCCGCGCCATAGCTCAAGCGTTTAGTCGCTGGCTTCCCATCGCGACGGCCCGGGTCTGGTCAAGTGGGGTTTGTGGTGGACAAAGTGGCGCTGGGGCAGGTTTCCTCCGAGTACTTCGGTTTCCCCTGCCAATCTTCATTCCACCAATTGCTCCACAATCACCCTCACCTATCATCTGGGGCTGGTACAATAGGCCAGAAGTGGCCACAGTACAAGGGACTTAGTCCCACTCCACTGGCAATAAATGAAACCCGAGTTCCTTATTTGGGCTGTAAGTTTCCCTTAGTTGTTTGAACAAATTCTCTCTTCAGGGAAATATTCTGTGAAAAGGAGGTAATGGAAATCATAACTATTAAAGGGCTTACATAAACACATGACGTACAAGTTTAGAAAAGAAAGAAAAGCTTTCTTCGTTATATCCCCAATGTCTAACCCCCAACCTCCTCAAAACATATCTTACGACTTTTGTGCACGGAAAACATAATACACGTATGAATATACAACAAGGAAGTCAAGTTTGTGCGTACGTTAAAAGGTTCCATATTCGAAATCACTAAACAGATCTTGACAAAATTTGGCATTGCGGCCGCGCAATTTCTGATTCTGATTCGTGTCTGCCAATCATCTAAAAACTAATCTGACGGAAAAACAATTGAACTTAACTTCAACAATGTTTTAAAAATCGGCCCATAGTACAAACTTTGGTTGTGATAGCAAGCATAAACTTCAAAATCATTTAAAAGTCGAAATTATCTAAATTATATTTTAAAGATCTTTTTTTTAACCTCCAAGAATATGTATTGCATCTCAGTCACGTAGAATTGTAGTGTTTACGGAAAGAATCGTTGATATTGTCAGAACAAAGAAAACCACGCAAACTCTATGACTGAAAGACTGCGTTATTTACGTCCAAGCATATGGTACGTAATGTTACCAACGCCACATATTTCTCGATATTTTGAATATTTAACGAAATGTAAAGGGAAAATTTTCTTTCCTTAAAAATTTTCTTTCGCAGTATTAAATTTTTAGCTGCTACTTCATCCACAAGAATGAAACACAAAGTGAAAGGGGGGGAGTAAACTGTAATCCTTCTGTGTACTACAATGTATCCATCAATTTAAAATTGTTTTTTTTTTATTGTTAGTGGGGTGGGACTAAGTCCCTTGTGCTGCGGCCGCTTCTGGCCTACTGTACCAGCCCCAGATGATAGGTGAGGGTGATTGTGGAGCAATTGGTGGAATGAAGATTGGCAGGGGAACCGAAGTACTCGGAGAAAACCTACCCCAGCGCCACTTTGTCCACCACAAATCCCACTTGACCAGACCCGGGATCGAACCCGGTCCGCCGCAGTGGGAAGCCAGCGACTAACAGCTTGAGCTATGGCGCGGCCCTTAAAATTGGCTTAGCCAAGACTTTTGTGTGACGTCGTGTTAAGAATTTAGAGCACTCGTTTCTGCCATAAGAATTGAGCACTAAATGAATATAATTAAAAAAAACGAATAAATCTGTTTCGACCTGCAATAAATAATAGGACTGCAAAAATGTGCACTCAACAGCCAAGTTCTACAGAAGGAATTATAATTATATGCTAATATCCATGCTCTTTAAATAAACTGCAAATAAATATAACGTATGTAATGTGGTAAATGGAAGTGATATTCTGTAATTCCGGAGGTGACTTACATTAAACTGATTAATTAAGACTACGATGAAAAGAAACAAACATTACATTTGCATGTCATTAATTCATACCACTCCTCACCTCACTGGATTTTTTTCAATTGACCTAACCCTTCAAGCCGCACTATGGCCCTGGGGTCCACTCAGCCTCTAACTGAAATGAGAACCAAGAATTTTCCTGCAGGCAAAGGGCGGGCGGGCGGGCGGCCGGCGCGTAAGGCTGACAACCTCACCGCCATCTGTGATTGACGTCTCACAACCCTATGGGCCTCCACGGTCTGTTACAGGGGTAGTTTAACCCTACCTTATTTTTTGATACTTATTCAATTGGACTTGAAAATGAAACTTATAAGGTAAATAAATAAGAAATTTTAACCAAAACTGGAACATGCTGACAAACCGTAGTAAAATTTCCTAATGTCAAATTCAGTGAAAATCTGTTCAGCGGTTCTTGAATTGTTTCATGACGAACTGGTGGACGGAACAACTTTAATAGGCTCTCCGTAGGGTTGCTAATGCAACTAAAAATCTATAACATAAAGGAATGCAAATTCACAAATAACTGATTTAGGAAATACGTGCATTTCCTTGCACTCTTCTTTTCATACTGTGAGTACGATATCACTACTGCTTAATATTACGAACACGAGTAAAATGTGTATTGATTCCTGTTTTACTAAACAGCCCAATACTTAAGCACACGTTTGGTACGTCTGTTAATTCACTTCACTGATTTGATTCTCCCTGATTTCCGGCGTAAACACAGGTACGACGTTGACGCTCAAGCTGTGTGCGGCGAACGGCTTCCATCCGGGCCGTTATGCTCCGGGCTTCTTATCGCTCGCATGAATCACCGACTGGGGCTAGGGTCCTCCCTCTCAATCAACATCTGCTACAGGAAGCAGTAGAGACGTACCCTATTTTCTTGCTCTGACGTTCACAGTGGTCGGGCGGCCTAAGGCATTAACTCTCTTCGTTCGCTCGAACACTGGCATCGTGGGTTCGAATCCAACTCAAGGAATGGATGTTTGTCTGCGTATATTCTGTGTTTGTGTTGTCCTATGTAGGTAGCGGCCTTGCGACGGGCTGATCCTCCG